GACAAATTAGCAAATATAATTAATAACTTGATGGTTTGGTTTGAAGTATTATTCTGTGTTTGCAATCAACATCAATTTACTGGTTCATTAGAGGTTTGACGCATTAAAGGTTCATTTGTGTATAAAACAAATAAAATATATTTATTAGGTAGCTTTTGGGGTTTATGTATCTTGAGGTTTTTTTTAATTTTTTTACTACACAAATGTTGATACATGCAAATTGTAAATGTCCTATTGGCTTTAGTTATTGTATTAATTTGGTTTAATATTGAAAGTTTATCTGAGAACCTGCAACATTGGACAGAATGTTGCCTATACTTCATTAGAAATATATGAAGAAAATGAATAAAAACTGACTCTACTTAAATCGTAAAATAAGACCTTAGTATATACCCCTTTTTAAATATCCACTAAAAGAGATAAAAGAACTTACTCTATCTAGTTAAATCATACAATAATACCTCAGTATATACCTTTAGTTTAACTATCCACTGAAAGATAAAAAAAAACTTACTATACTTAAATCATACAATAGGACCTTATCCGTCTTACAGCACTCTACGTAAAACTAAAGCCACTTTCTCTTGGAGGTTAGTTGATAGAGGGCACGTAAACCGAGACTACAAACCACCATCCAGTTAATGGAAGTTGACAATTCTTCTAGGGATAGTTGTATTTCTTTTCAAGGTCGGAATAGCTTCTTATTAATTTTAGACTTTGTTAAAAACAACGTAGAAGTGTACAAGCCTTGTACAAAAGAAGTGAAGTTATTCGACTTTTTAGTAGGTATAGATTGAAAATTAAGTCGGTGCAGATAAATAATCTGTTTTGAGAGTGTGGGAGTCTTTAATTATTAAACTCTTGGTCAATGAGTGCTGTCTAATAGGACCTAAAAAATTACTGGCCTTTACTAAATGGAGCTGGACTTCAAAGCTAGCCGTATCGTGTAGTAAGTTGTGTAAAAGGATGTCATTGCACATACTGTATTTATTTTACTTCAATGAGTAGTGAATTTCCCTCTCAAAAACGCAAAGCAATATAATTATTTATAACGAGTGTTTCCAAATTGTCTGGACATATTTTGTGGACGTGTTCCTTGGGCTAAGACAAACATAAAATGCCATATAAATATGGGACTAAAATGCCTAGATTTCTGTTTGTCGGTCTGTTTGTGATTTTAAAGAGTTATTTTATATGTTGGGAATTTTTCAAAATAGAAATTTCAAAATTGGTATATATGTGTATTTTAGTAGGTAAAAATATCTTACAAAGTTTTGTTTAAATATCTCAAGCCGTTTCAATATGGTGGCCATTTAAAACCTTTAATGCCAAATTTCATGACAACCGTAAATATTAAGAAAACTGCTTTACGGACCAAAGAGATAGAATATTTAAATCCAAATCAAATGAGTTGTTGTTTGTTAAAATCGGATGACAAACCACCGAGTTATTAGTTTTTTTCTACATTCGGTTAGTTTTTTTCTACATTTTTCCATATTGTTCAGATGTTGCAATCGTATACATGGACATGCCGGTAAACACGGACACTATAATATAATAATATTCACCAATCGAAGCTCTGACTTGGTAGTAAGTATACAGGGTGATCAACTCAAGGAGGCCACCATTGGGATATCGGAAACGGTAAGAATTAGAGAAAACTTTAAATGGGGGACATTCCTTTATTTTTTGTGGCAGTTAAAAATATGATTTTATCTCTTCGAAATTCAGCCGCCATTTTCCAAAATGGCGGCCAACTTTGAAATTTCTTACGGAACACCCTATATTTTATCACGTTTTCGGATAGAACAGGCAATTTAAAAACTTTTTTATTCTTGACATTTTTTCGATAAACCCACTCGTTTAGGAGTTACAGCCTAGGGAAGAATGACTTCCGGTGTACATTTTACATCATGTAGCTCCTAAACAAGTAGGTTTATAGCGAAAATGCGAAAAGTAAATGAGTCAATTAATCTTAAAATTGCATCCACATTCCTAAAAGACCAAAAAATTCGTTAAAAAATATTAATTCTATTATTTAAAAAATGGCGGCCATTTTCCAAAATGGCGGCAAACTTTAAAAGTGGAAAACTGTTTATTTTTTGGTCTTTTTGGAATGTGGATGCAATTTTAAGACTTATTTGACTCATTTCCTTTTCGCATTTTCGCTATAAACCTACTTGTTTAGGAGCTACATGATGTAAAATGTACACCGGAAGTCATTTTTCCATAGGCTGTAACTCCTAAACGAGTGGGTTTATCGAAAAAATGTCAAGAATAAAAAAGTTTTTAAATTGCCTGTTCTATCCGAAAACGTGATAAAATATAGGGTGTTCCTTAAGAAATTTCAAAGTTGGCCACCATTTTGGAAAATGGCGGCTGAATTTCGAAAAAATAAAATCATATTTTTAACTGCCACAAAAAATAAAGGAATGTCCCCCATTTAAAGTTTTCTCTAATTCTTACCGTTTCCGATATCCCAATGGTGGCCTCCTTGAGTTGATCACCCTGTATAGTGAATATATTCCTTAGAATATTTTTAAGATTGAATTGCAATAATTTAGTCCATTGCTGAAGATGTTCACAGTTAGTTTGGTTTACAAAAAAAATATTTGAATTCCTTATAAATTTTGAAAAGTAAGCTTGTTTCAACAACTTTGCATTTTAATATACAAAAGAATTTATTTTAGCCCCAAAATCTACTTTGAGATTAACATAGCTACATATAAATAGTGTTTTGTTACAGCCTAACCATCTAATTATTCTGTTAGTATAGGGGGAAACAGTGAAAATTTAATACAATATACGTACTCTTAATCTTGATAAATTTTTAACGTGGAACAGCAAGTGTAAAAAGATCATCGGTACTTATATTTTTATATTATCACAGATTTATTACTAAAACTGATATTGTTCTAATTGTTCTGTATGTTTTGAAGTTTTTTTCTTCTAAATTAATATCTTCATGTTGCCAATTATCTTTCTAAAGGTAAGATAACACACACATGATACCGTAGTTTATTAAGTTATTTAGTATAGTATGGTGGTTGTATAGTATATTATCCTTTAGACATCCATCGATGGACGACTTTGATCTTTGTAGTGAACGTTACATCGCAGACCAAACATAATGGATGCCGTTCTAAACATTAATTCACTACCTTATTGAGCCTGTGTGCATTATCAAAAGTGATTCTCCAAGTAAAACAGAAATAGTGTATAATTAATTCAATACAATAAAACCTTATATCCAGACTGATACGATGATGTAAGAAACTATGATGGGATAATTTAGCATTTTATTATTTAAAAGATAAACTAGATATGGACATTTTAATTTAATACCGTTATTAGGATCGGTTATTACATATGTATTACAAATAACAATTTTAAGTCTCATAACATGAAAAATTACTGTAACCAAAAGGACATCATAGATTTATCCGCCTGAAAAAATTTAAATAATCGTCCTCCATTTTCAAATGCAAACGTGATAAATGGAAAAACAAGTACAGTACACAAATATATTACATCGCAAGTGTTTTTCATTAAATAAGAATTTGCTTATCCTAGGAGCATTTAGTTGAAATGTAAAATACGTCTTTTTCTTTATGAGTGTACATGAATAAATTAATAAATTAATAAATGAATTTATTTCCCATATTACATAACACTTTACAATCATAATAATTATTGAGAAATGTAAACTGGTCACTTTTTCAAGTAGTGTGACCAATTACAAAGTTAAACATTGTTGTGAAACATTGTTTCACGTATATAGCTAATTTTTTAAATTGTATTTTTTTGTAATTGAATAAATAGAATTATTAAGGATTTTTAAGATAAGGTAACATCTAAAAGTTACAGAATTACTTAACATTGAAACCTAACCTTTTTTGTGTTTTAAAATGTTTACATTACATTTATTATTCAGCACAAACTACATTTTACGAATACCCAAAGATATCTGTAATAAAATTTAAACAAATTAAAATATCATTTCAATATGTAATGTAGGTTTAGAACAAAGCTAACAAAAGTGAATAATCGAGTTTAAGGGAAACCGTTAATAAAACTGACTCCGATAGAGAGGAAAGGTTCTACGGTGTCAACCGCAATTTGCATGAATCCAGGAAGCCATTTCACCAACTTTCTTTATCTTTCTGGTTGATTCAGTTATCCTCTTTTGGTAATTAGCCTAATCTTCTTTTATATTTTATAATCATTAGAAGAATTTAATAAAATTCAAACCTAGACAAACTTTATTTTACACAAATGTATTTTAGTTTTAATTTATATTTCCAAAAGACTTCTAGTGCTTTAAGGATATTCATGCAAAAGATGCAGATCTTAAAATAATATTTGATTTTGATACGAATTCTACTTATTCTGACATTCCCTTTAAATGGGGGATTTAAGGGCTTTTCTTAACAATGATATGAGTCACCTGAAATTGAGAATGGGTTACAATTACAAACGTATTGCCTAGAGCGAGGCTTTTGATGTTCAGTTTCTGATGTCTCTAAACATGTTATAACCTGTGAGAGGGTCACATCTCTCTTCCTTGATTGATATTTCAGTATTTGTAATTAAGTAATTGATATTTCAGTAAGGTAAATAGGGAGGATTTAGACTTTTCGTAGTTGTAGTTTACTTTCTAAACACTATGCATCTGGAATTTCTTTTATTATTTTTAAGATTGCAACTGTTTTTAGTTTAAATATTTTCCTTGATAGTTATCCTCTTTCAAAATACATTATTTGGTAATATATTCTACAGGAAATTGGTTAACACATTCAGGACCATGAAACACAATAATCCTTATACACAAAGACAAGGTATGGTCAGTGCTATTGAGCTACAACTAAATCTTTCAACCCCATGTCTTTTTTCAATTCTTTAAACTACTACATTATGTCTAAATACACAACTATAAGAAGCATAGAGGATGATAATTTATTCGATGGGACATGACAAAAAGGAAATTAGACAAAATATAATTATTGCGACGGCTGATCCACCGGCTCTGGAGGATTGTTGGGAGACTCTCCAGTTTGATCTTGAGGAGCAGATGATTCTTCGTGTTTGCGACCTCGACGTCTGCGCGTGCTTCTACGAGACCTGCGTCTTCTACGAGCCATAGTGAGATCATCTAGGTCATCTCTCCTCCTAGCGCGTCGTGTAGATCTCTTACGGCGACGACGAGCCATGGTGAGATCATCTAGGTCATCTCTCCTCCTAGCGCGTCGTGTAGATCTCTTACGGCGACGACGAGCCATGGTGAGATCGTCGGAGTCATCTCGCCTCCTAGCGTGTCTTGTAGATCTCTTACGGCGACGACGAGCCATGATGAGTTCATCGTAGTCATCTCGCCTCCTGGCGCGTCGTGTGGATCTCTTCCGGCGTCGACGAGCCATAGTGAGATCGTCGGAATCATCACTGCGACGTCTTATAGACCTACGTCTTCTTCGAGCCTGGATAATGCTATTCCTCCGGAGTCTTTTGCTAATAGACCTTCTCCTGCGTCGAGCCTCTATCAGTTCACTGTCAGCTTCACGTCCCGTTTGTTTACGGCTTCTCCTTTTGTACCGATATCTTTGTTGTCTGCGACCGCGGGCTATGACTACCTCATCGTTGTCGTCGTGACGTCTACCTCTTCGACGCTTTAGTGAACGTTTCCGTCTCCTACGCGCCTCCAAGAGTGTGTCCTCGTTCAGTGCAGGGTAGAAGCGGTTGTGTCTGACGGTCAAGAATCCCTCTTCTACTGCTAGTTTCAAAGACTTCTTATAGTCCGGGAGAGTTTTGAGGCCGTAGTTGTGACGTAGAAAGTCAGCGACATCTGAGACGCTTACTCCTTTCTTCTTATCGAGGTACATCACCGCTGTCACGACAGGACCTAATTTTGCTCTCATTTTGTCCAAAATTTTAATTTTCCCGCAGCTAATTTTGATACACCTTTTCTATGAAGATTAATTTAAAAGTGAACTGTTGCCATGCAACATATTTTTTTTACAATATAAGAGGTTTAAGTATTTTTATTTATGCAATCCAAATGGTTGCGGTAGCAACTAGTTTTGGTTCAACACCGGAACCATCATCAGGCTTCACAAGAACATTGTCGCTTCTTGAGAAGGTCGTCACAGTTCACACAAAAAAATTACAAAACATCGAAACATTAAAAACACGACACGCATGACTAGATACGACGCAACCATCAAGAGTTTACATCTAGACTATTTTTAATTATTTAACAGATTCAGTACCACGAGACAAGACTCCTCATACAGAGTGTGACGACTGATGGGCAACGTGTTAAATCTAATCTTTAATTATTATAAAATGCGTTACAAATACCAGTAGAATATTTGTAAAATAAAAAAAAAACACAAATATTGAAAGACGCTCATTTTTATTCAAACTTTTTTAAGTTAAGGTAATTTCAGAGGCACATAAGCATCGCCCAAGGCTTTTGAAGTGGCAAGTTTCGACTTTTGGAAAATAAACATAAATTGACTCTGAACTAAAAATAGATACCACTCAGTCTTCGCAACGTTTGTTTACGTTTTCCAATCGATTAGTTTACAGTCACGCAACTAAAAAAAAGACTAAATTACTTGCGTTATCCCATTACAGCCCTACTAAATATGTTAATTGAGGACATATTTCGTGGTTAAAACATCATCTTCAGCTTCAGGTCCTTGTAGAGTTGATCAGTTGTTAACCTCATCAAAAAAGTGAACAAAGCACGTCACGAACCAAATTACGGTAAAATAAAACTGGCATATTTTGTTGAGCTGTGACAGGATTACGTAAGTAATTTAGTTTTCCATTATGCCCAGCAGCCCAGGGGCTATAAACATGGATTTTAATTAAATACATTTATTAACATACATTAACACATCGAATCGAACTTTACAAATCAAACTAACTACAGCACATCTCACACAACTAAAACGTTTCTAAGCCCTAAAACACAATTAATTCATTGGTAGGATCTATCATTTGGTATTAATGATTTCCTCGATCATTTACTGTAAATAATCTTTACCTAAACCGCCATGTTAAACTTCCCTATCCAAAGCGTGATGTATACAACTTCTTTACTTCGCGAGTGATGTAAAGTTTAGAAAAACTCACTCGGTGAAGTAATGAAACCCATTTAAATAACATTGAGTGCTTAACTTAAAAAAACCTCTATGGAGCCAACGACGTTCAACGCTAGAAATCAGCTGTGCGCTTGAATGTTATTGTAATGTTTTAAGTATTTCCTAACCTAGCTTTTGTTTGTAAAAGAACGTTACTGTTAGAAGATGAGTGAAATGGATAATAAAAAATATTGTATGTAACCCCCTGTTTATTGTTGGGTCAGGTAAAATATTGTACGTTACACGTTACGCAAGAGCGTGTTTACATCACTTAGGTAAATTATTCACAACATTCACCTGCGTGATGTAAAAACGCTCTTACTACACTTGTAATGTAAATAGCTAATTTCCATTAGCTATATTCAAGGGTGAAACTACCATTCCCGACAAACATTCCTTTAACTTATTTCTTAATTCAACTTTAGCTTCATTTGACTCTATTAACCGGACTTTGATGTTCAACGGTTTATGGTTAAATGGATGTCCTCTTGATTTTATAACTGTGGTCTCTTTGCGTTTTACCACTCTATCGTAAATTACCTTACTGTAGGTAATTAATGAGGAAGCTGTTAAAAAAAATCTAACCTAATTAGCTAATAACCATACTTATTTTAAAGTATCAATAAGCATCTCACAGTGTTAGATTCAACAGCTATATTACGAGCCAGAGGTCATGTTCTTTTTAAGCATGGATTTTTTTAAATACTCAAGTTGGCCAGTGTTTTGTTTATTTTTAAATGTATCATTTTAGTATGTACGTTTTTTTGTACGTTTACATACGTCAGACCTGCATTTTTATTTAAATCAATATTTAACATCTGAGCATTTCTTTTACCCAAAAATTCTAGGAACCTAGTATATTCCCGAAGGTAACATAAAATGGCAGACGTGTCATTCCTACTAACTTGTTCGGAAGTATTGTACATTAGTCTGCACTATCTTGTGCAAAGGGACTTTCAGCCGTTTTTGTGTAAACACAGTAATTAATTAATTGTGCCTAATCATAGCTCAGACTGACAATTAAATATTAAATATGGAACGTGTAGCTTAAACTCACAACTTTACTATCTCCGTTGTAATTAGAAATTTTCATTTTGTAGTTAGAAATTAACGTGAATACTGCAAATATTTCCTTGAAAAACTTAATTTCCGAAAAAAACATAAACCAACGTCAAAATAAAAGTGTAACGTATTTCATTATTCAATTCTTGTTACCTTGTTATCAACCGTATTGGATTATACTCCCTAAGGGCCGAAGAAAATAATTATGAACGCTCTTTTTTAATCTCTGTCCCCGCTTCAGGCTATTCGTTGAAAATATCAACTGTTTAAGCTGCTTCTTCATTTCGTTAAACTGGGTTAGTTTTGATTAGAAATTTAAACTACTTTATTAATAAAAAGAGTTTCCCGAGTTATTACCTTTTTATAAATAAAGTTACAAATACAATATTATTTATATCTAATGAAACTTTTATTTAATTTTTGTTTTCACGACGATAGGCACGAGCCCGGGATTTTTTCGCGTTCAGGCTAGACCTAGGGGTTGTGGCATTATCACTTAGATATCCCTTGGTGATTTGGTGGGATTCGAACTCGGGACCTCAGGGGCCGAGGTCCTGCGCTTTAACCACTAGTCCAGCACGCTCCCCAATATATTGAAGATATTGTATTACGTATATACCTATCACATAAAGCTTAATGTATTTTCTAAAAAAATATTATCTTGCTTATCGCTATAAAAGGTTATTCCTTTTTCATGGATCTACTATCGTGTTTTTGCCATTGTATCTTGCAGTATTTGTCTTCCATATTGTCATATTGTCGTATACATGTTTTAAAAACTGATATACATGTACTGATGATATACATACTGATATAGCATGTTGTTAGAGTAAGAAATTCTAGATATTGCATTCGAAAAAAATGATAAGGTAATTGGATTGATTAAAAAAGGACGAACCACTGAATATTCAATTTATTTTGTCTGCAGTGAAATAGCAAACAAGTAGCAGCACTTGAGATTGCATAGAATCATATCATTAATAATCACATTCAAATCGTAACATGGGTTTCAAGTGTTAACAGTGTAAAGTTATTTGTAAGTCTATTAGTTTTGCAATTAGATCCAGTGTCTAAAAACATCATATTGTAACATGTAATAAACTAAAACTTGCATCTCCCGACAATTTAGTAGTTTGTAGACGCTATGTTCGTACGATATTTATTATATTGAAAGCTTTATACTTTCTTAGCAAGAAGGATGTTTTATAATCTTTTGTCACCTTTTTGTCACTAAAGTATGTCCCATAGACTATGTGTAACTTTATGCCTTATTTGTCTAAGAGTTACTGAGATAACGCGTTACAACCAGAAAAATACTAACCATCTAGTTCATTAAGAAAGTATCACTGGCAGCTACTAAAGAATAACAGTTTCAATTCTGATTGAGTTGATCAGCGACCAAAGAATGTTTGAAAGAAACTTTGGTCGCTGATCACTGGGTACATTAGATGAAAATCTCAAAGAAAATCAACCTTTGAGAAAAAGTGTTAAAATGTACGGCCATCTACAGTTCTCGAGCGGCAATGCCTGTTTGTGCTCGTAATATACACAAGAGTGTTCCTACTACCATAATCTATTAACTTATTAACACACAGATTAACTTTTTAGATGTATATAAAACGTCATTTAGGTTATGTTTGCTTTTTAAGGTAATGTAATTTGCTTACCGGTTGTTAACTAACGTTCCGGAACCGTGGCTGTGATTTAGAAACAACAACTGGGAAATCAGCTAAGCGAGCAGGAATGATAATTTCCCGCTCTAGAGTGGCAATGAGCTATTTCGCATACTGTTTGCTTCTTTGACAACAAACAGTTGTTGATAGTATGATCATTTATAAAAGTGGATTGTATTCGATGTTGAAGCTAATAAGTGTTAATTTCATTCATGAGATAATCACTGTTTCTGCAATCTTAGAAGTCAACAGTTCTTAAAAATCTGTTAATACAAAATTACATTTTTTACTTTAAGCCTCTTATAAGATTCTTTAATTCAACTGCTGGATAGAACTGATTCTTATTGCAAGTTTGTTTGATTTCACTAGAAAATCCCCAATTTCCAACATCGTTTAGCTGGACTTAATAGCTAGCTATACCATCAAACAATAGTTCGAACATGACCCAATCACCAGGTCTAATATAGAAGCCACAGAAATGACGAGAATTGACTATGATGACAATAGCTAGTCACATGAAAACACATCACAGCTTTGAACTAGAAATTAATGGGAAACTGTGCAAGTAAGATTCGTTTAGTGTTATGAATCCTTGATCAAGTCATGGATGAATATGTACTTTAATAAAAGTCGTATTTGACATTTTTAAATTATCAAATAATCCCATCTCAACAATTTACTTATGAAATAAATAACTAACACTTAAACTGGAACACCGGTACGGTACATTCTAAGCATTTCTACGCAATAATAGAACACTAGTGTACATGTTGCTCGAATTCGAGCAATTGCAAAGTATTACAGGAGTTATTTCAAAACGAATAACAGTCATATTTACAATGAATTTAAAAGATTCAACTCAAAGGTTACCGGTGTGTAATTCAGATCATGTTTATCTTCATTATTAATAAACCTCCTTCTCAAAATGCCTCGCTGTACAGGCAACACAGGTCATTGATAGAGGGCCAATTTTGAACGAAAAGTTGTTTTGGGGTAGTGTTAGGGCGCATTTTAACCTAATAGTTGAGCCTA